GTTCTCAGGATGGCCATGGGTCTGAGAGGGTGGAATCTTGCAGCCCCTGCAGACGCAGTTCTCAGGATGGCCATGGGTCTGAGAGGGTGGAATCTTGCAGCCCCTGCAGACGCAGTTCTCAGGATGGCCATGGGTCTGAGAGGGTGGAATCTGGAGTTGAGAGCAGACTTGCACTCAGCTTAGCTGCCCCGGTGTGCTTTATGTAATTAGCAGTAATCTTTACAGGAGGCCTCACAGTTCCAGGGGGTTTCCCAAGGACAGACTTGAGAGAGTAGAGCTGTTTTTGCACCCATTTGCAGATAATGAACCCTGACTAGGGTTACAGGAGGGTCCTCTTCCCCTGGGCCTAGTTCCTGCTTCCTTGGGTATGTGCTTCTTTCTCTGATCAGCTGCCCCAGGCAGAAAAAGATCCGGGTAGCAGGGAGGCCCAAGGCATGGATCCTACAGTTTAGGCAAGGAGTTAAAGCAGCTTTCCTGTCTCCCTGCAGAGAAACAGCTCATTGCCAGATGAGAACAATGTAGCCAGGTTGCAAGAGGAGCTTAAGGCGCTCAAGGTGCGGGAGGGCGAGGCTGTAGCCTCTGCGCGGGAGCTGAAATTGCAGCTGCAGGAGCTCTCAGACACCTGGCAGGTGAGAACGGGTGGTGAGAGAGCCCCCAGCAGGATGTGCCCGGAGCAGCTGGTGGGCCTTACCTCGGGGCTGGTCTCTAGAACCCCTCCAGCCATTCTTCTAGGCTCATCTTTCCCGTGGTGGCCGCTGGAAGGAGTCCCCGCGGAAGCTGGTCCTGGGCGAACTGCAGGACGAGCTCATGACCGTGCGTTTGCGCGAGGCGCAGGCCCTGGCCGATGGCCGCGAATGGCGGCAGCGCGTGGTTGAACTGGAGACCCAGGTAGTCCATGCCTCCGCGGGACAGGGACCCCCACAGGGGGCCCCTTGACCAAACCGCGACCACCCCTCTCCTGCTGCTATGTCCTCTGGTCCTCCTTTCCAGGACAACATCCACCGCAACCTGCTAAACCGTGTGGAGGCAGAACGTGCAGCTCTGCAGGAGAAGCTGCAGTACCTAGCAGCGCAGAACAAGGGACTCCAGACTCAACTCAGTGAAAGCCGCCGCAAGCAGGCGGAGGCTGAGTGCAAGGTACAGCCCCTGCCTGGACCCCACGACCCTACCTGGGACCTTGCCACCTCCTTAACCCAACCTCTGTACACCTCCTTCCCCCCATTTCAGAGCAAGGAGGAAGTGATGGCGGTGCGCCTTCGGGAGGCTGACAGTATGGCCGCAGTGGCGGAGATGAGGCAGCGCATCGCAGAGCTGGAGATCCAGGTGAGCTGCCGGAGCTGAGAGGAGGGTGGTGCCCTTGGGCTGGCCATGCTCTGACTGCCAGTACTCTGGCCTTACCGGCAGAGGGAGGAGGGCCGTATCCAGGGCCAGCTGAACCACTCGGATTCTTCGCAGTACATCCGCGAGCTGAAGGACCAGATTGAGGAGCTGAAGGCCGAGGTGAGAGCAAGGGTTGCTGGCGACAGGCCAGACTCTGGTGCAGGGACCCAGATGAAGCATGAAGCTAGGAGGGTAAGGGAGGAGGGCGCCTGATGGCCAGGCTTTTGTGTGGGCACATCAGTCTACATCTCCAACGCGTGGGTGCCCCCCCCCGCGCACCCCAGGTGCGGCTGCTGAAAGGCCCACCAACCTTCGAGGACCCGCTGGCTTTCGATGGTCTTAGCCTGACACGGCACCTGGATGAGGACTCCCTACCATCTTCCGATGAAGAGCTGCTGGGCGTGGGTGTGGGCGTGGGTGCAGCCCTGCAGGACCCACTCTACCCTCTGTCGCCCCGGGACGCACGCTTCTTCAGACGTCTGGAAAGGCCAGCCAAAGACAGTGAAGGTAGCTCAGACAGCGATGCAGATGAACTGGCCACGCCTTATAGCAACCAAGGCCTGGACAACTGAGGCTGGGGGCCCACTCACTGGGAGCCTGGAGACCGCAATCACCACTTGCCGGGAGGAGAGGGCAGCAGTCAGTGACCTTGCTGCTCCGCAGTACTAAAAATTATGTGCCTCTGTGGTTCCCGCCAAACAAGGGCCAGGTGGAGGAGGCAGCACAGAGGGCAGGGCCTACTGGCAGGCCTGTCTTACATAGCAGTGTTGACCCGGTTTGGTCCATACGGCGCAGGCCCTCCTGAGTTCAAGGGGTGCCTGGGTCAGTTACCTGGAGGGTGATGCTCTCTTCATATGGACAAGGGCCGAAAGTGCAGAGGTCCCAAGACTTGCTAAGCAGAAAACTTCCTCCTCCCAGTCAGCTTCCCTTTGGGACAAGGGTGGCCCTGCTGGGTGGGGCCCAGGAGCTGCAGTGGGTCTGAGGAAGGAGGGACAACTTGGACTGGATATTAGCACCCCAGGACAGGCTCTCTGGACACAGTGATTTTGAACAGCCAGCCCCTTGCCACCAGGGTCAGATGGCTAGGCTGGGCTTTTCTGCCTGGTGCAGGCATCATGGCCCCTGCAGCAGAAACCAAAGTCCCCCCCATCCTGTGTGCAGGACCAGGGGTGTGAGTGGTCCGTGGGAACCAGCTCAGGCATGGGCAGTGTCTCCCTGCCCTCTAGGGCTGCAGAAGCTGCAAAGAAGAGACCCTTTTCCCTAGAGCACCCATCTCCCTCTGGGGAGTACTAATATCACACGTGTTGGCTGGCTGCGGAGGAAAACCCCTTCCTTAGGAGTTCTCAGCCTCAGTTCTCTTGTTCCTGTGTCCCTAGCCCCACTTCTGGCCAGAGGTTCCCAGTCAGAGTTACCTCCCTTATCTCCTTGAAGTGTTTCTGTGGTCTCTGCCCAGAGCTGAGAATGGTGCCAAAGTCCATCGATGCTCCCAGACTCCTTTATCCCTCACCCCCTGCATCTTGGGACCCTGGGGGCTGACCCCCCTCTCAGTGCTTCTAGAGCCTCAGGTAGAGTGGCGTCCCAAGCAATCCCTGGGTGCTTCCTGGGTGGGCCCCCAGCTCAGTCTCCATTCCTGGTGGCCCACTCTTTAAGTGTTAAAAAGCCTGGGGGCTGGGACAGGGTACCCCTGAGGGGCCCTCTTCTGTGCCCCTCATGTGCCCCTCCACACTGCCCACCACCATTTTGCACACTGCCTGTTCACACTCCATGTCTCCCAGGCAGGAAAGATGAAAAATAAAGTGTATTTACACAGTCACAAAGGATGCTGAGTGGAGCAAGCCAAGGGCTGGGAGAATCACAGTAAGGTGCCGACCCCGACCTTGTGTTCTGGAAGTTCGAAGACAAATGCAATAGCTAGTCAGTGTGAGAGAGGCCACAGGGTGGATTTGGATGGCCTAATCCAAATGCCAACTTGAGGAAAAGCTTGACCCTGTGACAGCCAGTGGAGTGTTCTGCCTGTGGCTGCCTTTGTGGAGTCTCTGCTGTCATGGGAGTGGGTACTAAGGGTAAGGGAATTTGTGTAATGCCAAAGTAGACAACCAGAACGGAAAAGACAGAGCAGAGGAGACAAGGTGAGAAATTCCCCTGAGGGCAAAAGCACAAAGGCCCCGCTAATAGGGAGAGGAGGGGTTTTTTTCTGGGAGGAGCCAGAATATCCTGGAAGAAGGAACAGATCTTGGGTGTGTGGTGAGACCAGGAAGGTGGTGAATGTGACTGCTCCAGGAAGGAGCTGAGTTTGGGCTTGAACTGAGAGCAGTGTGGGATCCATGGGAAGGCTGAGAAGAGAGCCTATTGAGTGGGAACTCCCCTACTGGAGAAATCCCCTTCTGAGGGTCAGTAACCAGGTCAGTGCATCAAATGCCAAACTGACTCAGGAATGGGGACATTACATTGGATTGTTGTCTGGGAGAAGAGTGCCCAGGGTTAGCACCAGCTCATGGAGGGAGGGGAAAGTATAGTCAAGAGCACTAAAAGACAGCTATTTACTGCCCAATGGCACTGAGCAACTGGACACAACACTGATTCCATGTCAGAATAGCTGAGTCCCCTACAAATGCTCCCATTCATTCCGGTCACACAGATCTAACACTGATGCTCATCTGTCACTGTGCCTACTGCTCCCATGGGTCACTAAGCATCTACACGTTCTTGTCCCCAAGCTGGCTCCCTGAACTGGGACCTGGCAATAAAGGAAAAGTCCTCACAGAAATTGGCCTGAGGTCCTAGCTGCCCAGTGTTAAGAGTCAGCTTTTTGCTGGGGCACAGTGGCATCTTTAATCCCAGCACCCAGAAGGCAGTGGCAGGAGGTTCTGAGTTCCAAGGCCAGCTTGGTCTACAGAGTGAGTTCCAGAACTACAGGCTAGCCAGAACTATATGGAGAAACCCTGTCTTGGGATGGGGGAGAGTTAACTTTTTTCTCTTAGGCTTGTCTTGACATCTGGGAACAAGGATATCCGGGGTTCCCTCCAGGGCTCAGCTAGAGAAGAAATCTCTGGCTTGCCACAAATCTCAGTGCTAGAGTCCAGAGCATGTGCCCTCCCCCAACAACAGAGGTAGCAGTGCCCCTCTGAGACGAGACTTTTTCTCTTTGGACTGTAAGCCAGGAAGTGGCTGTTTCAGGGCGAAGACAGAGAACTTATTTGTCTGTGTCTGACAAGTACCTGACTCAGGGTGAGGTAAGGGGGCCCAGTACAGGGCACTGCCATTTGGCTTCCACACTGTTAGTGCCAAGGTGGAGATCCTTGGGCAATAACATTCAAGGGGTAATGTCATGCAGGGGCACTCGGAAAGGAAAAACCTTGCCTGGAGTTAGGGGCTCCAGGGACAAGTTGATGGCTGGGAGGTGGAGAGCAATTCTGATTGACAGACTTAAATGAACATGGTAACTGAGAATTCATGAGATCATCTGGAGTAAGAAACAAGGCAAGGATGCCCCTGTGAGTGCAATACATAGAACGGCATGGTGTCAACGCCCAGGTCTTCTGCACCACCACCCCTTCAAGGTTCAGCCAGGTCAGTCCACTTTAGCCCTACATTTGTAGTTCTGCAAACCTGGGCAAGTTACTGCAGGAGAGGGAGATTGTCTCCGTTTATTTCCCTTAACTGTGATAAATCACCTTGACAAAAGCAACTTAAGGGAGGAAGGGTTTATTCTGGCTCACAGTTCAGGGTACAGTCTATCACTGTGGGGAAGTCAAGGTAACGGGAGCTGGAAGCAGTCAGTCACAAAGAGCAGTGAATGCATGCTGCTGCCCAGCTCTCTGCTTACACAGCCCAGGATCTCAGCCAGGGTATGGTGCCACCCACAATGGGTAGGTGTTTCCACCTAAGCCTAAGCAAGCTAACCCCCCCCCCCGACAGGCATGCCAAGGGGCCCATCTTTCAGGGGTTTTTCACATTTTACAACTTGGCACTACCCATCACAGAGGGAGAAGTAAGAGATGAAGGCAAGGACTCACCCTTCCTCTCCACTCGAGTTCATCCTCCGGGCCCAACTCAAGCACAAAAGAGAAGGGGTGCACACAGGGCATAGGGGCTGTAACAAGGGATACCCAGGAGAGCGAATTACCCCACATCCAGGGTTAGAAGAGCTTTGGTGGCTCCCCAGTTTGATCACCAGCTCATCCACTCAGGCCTCCCTGGGCCTAACGTTTTCATTAGAAGTGACCCAAAAGAGCACAAGACCACTATCTCACCAACCACCTTGCTGTAGACAAGTCACACTGTTCAGCCAGAGCTCCGACTTGCTCAGGCACACCCAGCAGCATGGTGTAGCCTGGACCTTTGAACTGCACCGCTACATATGTGGCCCTTTCCCAGCTCCCATCACCATGGCACCCAGGTGCCAGCATCTCTGGTTTTACTGAAAATGAGGCTATTGGTATGCGAGGCTATTTATCCACTGAACATAGGGTGTGGCGTGGCTCCTTAGAGGGCTGTGGCTTAGGCCAAATACAAGCGCAAATGGAAGGCCTAGGCCTACTTGTAGGTGTGTTCCAAGCTTAAACCAAGGAAGGATAGGGGCATGGCCTGGGCCCAAAGACTGGGCTCTAGAGGTTTAAAAAAATATCCATCCAGTGAGAGCGGAGACTAAGGCAAAAGAGGTGTAACCGGAAGGGTGGACTCTAAAGCGGTATGTGTATGATGAGCGGGGCTGGGGTCTGGCTCAATGAAAAGTCTCCACTTCCACTACAGTCCAATCACCCTGTGGGGAGGCCACGTCGTCCGGGGAGAAGCTGGTGACTGAAGTGATGCTGGCACGCGACTCGTCCAAGGGAGACAGCAATTCGGCCCAGCGGCCCAATTCGGCATCGCTAAGCGGAGCCCGGGATCCCCCCGGGACACCACCACCCCCTGGGCCTCCTGAACCTCCTTCACTGCCGGCAGCTGCACCCTCGGCTGCCGCTAGCAACAGCGTCCGGCTCAGCAGGTGCTGTACTACGCTCGCCTGCAGCGCCCCTAGCGGCAGCTCGCCAAGGCGAGCCGATTTGGGGCTTCTCGAGGATGCTCCTGAGCCCGGGGCAGCAGTTGCCTTCCCACCGCCAGAGCCCGGCTTCGGCTCCGGCTCCGGTTCCGCATCTAGGGATCCAGGGGTAGGGGCCACCGACTCTGGTCCTTCAGCTTCGTAGATGGTGCACAGGCCGTCAGAGGAGCCCGCGCAGGCAGCGGGAGGCCACGGCAGAGGAACTCCTGTAAGAACAGAAGTGGGGACCAGCGAGATTGGCTCAACGGAGGGCGCTTGCCACCAAGCCTGAAAACCGGCGTTTGGTCTTTTGAGCCTACACAGTGAAGGAGGGAACCAACTCCCACAAGTTATCTGACCGTCACATCAGCGCTGTGACACATGAACCCGCACAAATACTCAAGCAAGTGAATAAATAAAATTCATGATGTGAAAAAAAAAAATTTAAGGACCAGCAGGGGATGGAGAGATGGTTCATTGGTTAAAAATACTAGCTGCTCTTTCAGGAGCCCTAGATTCGATTTCCCCGCACCCATGTGGCTGCTCACAACGGTCTGTAAGTCAAGTTTCAGGTACCTGACATAATTTTCTAGCGTCTACTGCACCACACACATACATTCAGGTAAATCACCGGTACACATAGAATAAAATAAAAATAAAATAGGGCTGGAGAGATGGTTCAGCGGGTAAGGCTACTAAGGAAATCTGAGTTCAACCCACAGGTAAGGTGAGAACAGAATTCTATAAGCTGTCTGATTTCCACAAATGCGCCAGAGCACATACCCACAGCACTCCTAGCGCCCCTAGAGGCAGCTACAGTTTGTAAAAAGATACAAACATACAAAATGAGTACACAAACGTGATTTTTAAGGATGTGGGGCTGGAGAGGAGGCTCAGAGATAAAAGAACAATACTGCTCTTGCAAGGACCTGAGTACGGTTCTAAGCACTCATTTCGGGTAGCTCACAATAGCCTGTAAGAGCCGCACACGTGTAGCATATATATAATCGTTTTTTTAAGAGGTTGCGAGACGAGTAAAGGCGCTTGCAGCCCTGCCTGACGACCTAAATTCTATCTCCGTAACTCACACGGAGGAAAGAGAATAGATTACTGCAGGTTGTCCGCTCATTTCCATGCGCATGCACATATACACATAATAAATATAAAATTCAAGTTAAAAAAAAAAAGCTTGACTCCATGAAAAGGTCCGCCCCCGAGTCTTAACTCCTTACCTGGAGCGCCACGCACTGCCAACGGTGGAGCAGGACCTCGACTCCAGGAGGCCGGGTGGCAGGCCGCTAGCTCCGCGTCTGCGGCCGGGGAGACTGTGGCGCAGCCCTCGGGCCCGCTGTCGTAGCCACGGAGCTCCTCCGGCGTGCTCGTGGCGCTGCTGCTGTGGCCTGCCAGGTCCGGGCCACTCAGTGTACTGGACGGGCTTCGCGAGGGTGGAGGTGGCGGGGCAGGGGCCAGCGACAGGGTCAGCCGTGGACTTGAGATCGGGACATCTGGACCTGGAGTCGGGGGTCGACGAGGAGCTTGCAGTGGGGGTGAGGCAGGAGGAGAAGGAGGCTGAACAAGGGGCGAGGTCAGGCCAGGAGGGGGCGTGGCCAGAGGAGAGGGCGGGGTCTGGAGAGGAGGCAAAGCCAAGAGGGGAACCTGTAGGGGAGGTGGCGCCGTGGCCGGCGGGGAGGAGGGAGCCTGCAGAGAGGGCAAAGCCGGAGAAGAGGGGTCCTGCGGAGGGGGCGAAGTCAGAGGAGTGGGTGAATCCAGTGAAGGTAGGGCTTCTGGTGGGGGCGTTGCCAAGGGAGACGGAGGTAAGGGTGAAGGAGAAAGAGGGCGCTCTAGAGGAGGTGAAGCAGGAGGTGAGAGAAGAGCTGGCAGAGGAGGTGAGGCCGGGGACGAGGGAAGAGGCGAAGGATATGTAGCCAGAGAAGGCGCCTGCAAGGGAGGCGAGGGTAGAGAGTGTGCCTGCACAGGGGATGTGGGCGTGACAGAGAGCGAGGCCTTCAGAGGGGGTGAGCCCAAAGGCAGTGGGGACGGCAGCGGTGACACAACCAAAGGAGCAGGCGTGGCCTGCTGGGGCGACGAGGCCCGGGAGGGTGTCGAGGTCGACAAAGAAGCCTGTGAAGTGGGCAAAATCAGGGGTGGTGAGAGCCTCAGAGGAGGCGTGACCACGGGAGAGGGAGGGACATTCAGAGGTGGGGAGGAGGAAGGGGAGGGAGAAACTGGAGGAGAAATGGCCAGAAACAGAGTGTCTTGCAAAGGAGGCGTGGTTCGATTAGAGGGCGTGTCCTGGAGAAGGAGAGGAGACCCAGAAAAGTTGGCCGGCAAAAGGGGCGTAGTTAGAGCGGACAGAGTGGACGGAGAGGGTGTGATCAGGGGCGTAGGCTGATTCTGCGGGGAAACTGGCGGTGAAGGAAGGACTGGTGGAGGAGGCGTGGCTAGAGGTGGGGGTGTAGGTGAGAAAGGAGTGGCAGAGAGAGTCTCCGGAGGGGGAGAAGCTGAAGAAGCCTGGTTGCAGGGCATACTCTGGACAAGAGGTGAAAGCGATGGAGAGATCACGGCCATTGGTGGGGGTGAGTCAGAGGCCTCTTCAGGACCCAGGCTTGTGGGTGGAGCTTGCAAAGGGGGCGTGGCTGGTGGGGAGGGGAGGTTCTGCAAAGAAAGCGGGGGAGGTGATGGTGGGCAGTTTATGGCCTGTGATTGGGGTGTTGCCTGTGCTGAGGACTGGGCCTGGAGTGAAAGAGCAGCAGGTAGAGGGGGGGTGGCGGGTGGAGAGGGAGGGAGCGCGGCCTTCAGCGGATCCTCTAGGACCTGGACAGAGGCAGCCTGAGGTGTGGAGGCTCCAGGTGGAGCGGGCGTGACTAAAGATGAAGCAGAAAGTAGACTCTGTGCAGAGGTTCTGTCCTTCCTTGGGACTGTGGTCTGGGGTGGGCGCAGAGCTTGTTGCCCTTTCGACTTGAGCTGAGAGGTGTGTGCAGGAGCCCGGGGGGTGGCACGTGGAGAGACCCCAGAGCGAGCTGGAGAGAGCTGAGGAGTAGCACTGGAGCTCAGGGAACGGGAGGCCGGCTTCTGCAGGCTGCCACCAGCGGCAGAGCGCCTCTTCAAGGCTGGGCTCAGCTCCGGGACACTGCGCTCCACAGCACTGCTCACAGGTTTCCTGGGTGCCTCGGTGGTCAGGGGACGCTGCCGGGCACTGGGAACTGGTCGAGGAATTCCCACCTCTGTAGCCGGAGGTCTGGACCGACGAGGGATGGCAGGAGAAGAGGTTCCTGAGGTGGGTCCTAAAGAATCTGCAGACAAAAACGATAGTCCAGAAGAAACACGGATACCTCGAGACTAGTTGCCCTCAAAGACTGATAGAAGCCTGCTTGTCTCCAGGTCACATACCTCTTCGCGTTCCAGAGCTCAGAGTGTTCCTTTTGGGTGCCTCTGGTGCTTTACCTCTGACCACGGGCTCCTTAGTCGGGGGTTGGGGTCCCTTCTGGACAGCAGGGCCTGGTCTGGAAACAGGAGGACCAGCTGTTGTTGGTATTCCCAGTCGCACACTTCCCCGCCTGTGACATGGAGTTGCTTGCCTTCCTGTGACCCAACCAATAATAACCTTTGCCCAATTTGACCCACTATCTGCAAGTGTTCCTGAGCCAACTCGTGGGAAATATTTTTGTGCATGTGTGTGCACGTACCTTCAGTTGTGCTCCCCCAGGCATGCTCGTGTGGATGCCAGAGGTAAGCACTGGCATCTAGCTGGATCTTTTCTCTATCTTTCTTTCTTTCTTTCTTTTTTTCCGAGACAGGGTTTCTCTGTAGCTTTGGAGCCTGTCCTGGAACTAGCTCTTGTAGACCAGGCTGGTCTCGAACTCACAGGATCCGCCCACCTCTGCTTGCCGAGTGCTGGGATAAAAGGCGTGTGCCACGACCGCCCGGCTCTTTTCTCTGTCTTATTTTTGCATTCTGTTTTATTTATTATCACTGTGTAGACCAGGCGAGCCCCAGACTCATAGAGGTCCATATGCCTCTGGCTGCTGAGGGCTGGTATTAACAGTCCAGCACCAAGAATCCATCTCTCCCCACCTCCCATTCCCACCCAGAGCTGAGGTTATAGTGGTACACCACCGAGACTAGAGTCTCACGCTCAGGTCCTCATATTTGCGCAACAAGCACTTCACCACACTAAGCCACCTTCCCAGCCCATTCTTGCGTAATTTCAAAAGGCACCAGATTGCTAAACTAACCCTTGATTGGGGAATTAAGGAGTTAGAGGAATTAGCGTGTTACCTGGTGATCCCACTGCTGGCACGCCCGGAGCTAGAAATAGAACCCTGGCCGGAGGTCTTCACCGGGGCCTTCTCTCCTTTCCCAGAAGCTGCGGGCCTGGAGGCTTCAGGGAGAAGACAAAAATCAATGGCATTTCTGAAAAAGAAGAGTATCCGGGAAGGAAGAGGGAAGGTGAGCGGTGTGAAAATTGAAGTCACAGATGAAGCTGAGCACCTGTGCTGCGAGGACCTGCCCCAACGCTGCTGCGCGCTGGTGCCCCCTGCACAGCTGTCTGTGGAAGAGCTGTTTTGCCGATGCCCGCGGCTCGCTCCACCGGGGGCCTTCGCCCCACAGCTCCATTTGCTTCCAGGACTCGAAGGGCAGCGGTGGTTACAGGGGGAGGAGGTCGAGGGGATCCAGGAGGCTTAGGGGTCAGAAGGCCTGGAGGTCGTGAAACTGGCATCCGCAGGGCAGCTCCTGCCTTGACCTTATCCCTCTTGTCCATATTGCACCTGATGAGGAAAACAGAGGGGTCAGCATCCCAGGTCCTGAACCACTCACTACAAACGATCCTGGCGCCTCCCTATGCTTTCTCCAGCACCACCACCCAGGGGTGCCTAAACCTCAGCCTCAAGAGCCTCAATTTGCTTTCCTTCCAACCACCCACACCCGCTCACCAGTCCGGTCGCTCAGTGTTGTCAAGTCCCACCGCCACCTCCATCCCCCAAAGCTGAGACGCCCTGTTCGTGTCCCCCCACCCACACGCGCCAGTGCCTCTGCCCTCTTACAAAAACAACATCCATGCCCCTACCCCTCGCCTCTCGGAGACCCAAACGACCAGTCCCCCAAAACAGGACTTCCAGATTCAGGGTCCTCCGAACGCACACCGAGTGGGATTCACCAGCGTCCTCCCCCAGGTTCCCCAGGCACCTGCAGGGAGAAAAAGAGTGGCCTCGTAGCCCGCGAACGGGCTCCGGTAGACAAAGAGCTGCTTCCCGGGCCCGACCCCTCCCCCAGCACGGTCTCCTAGGCCAGCGATCCGCCCGTTCCACCTGCTCACATCGCGCGCTCACCTACGCCTCTGGCCACGAGCCGCTCCACGCAGGGTCGCCTGGGGTGGGGCTGGGCCGGAGCAGCTGTGGCGGGGAGCGGCGAGAAGGCAAGGGGAGGGGGCTGCAGGCGACAGTGCCTGGGGAGCCTGGCCGCGGCCCCGCCCCTCAGCCGCGGGCAGGGAGAGCCCAGGATGCGCGTGCTCGCGCTTGATCCAGAGCCGGGAGCGCGCCGAGGGGGGCTGAGAGAAGAGGCGCGCCTACGAGGGAGGTGCGCGTGCTGCCTCCCTGTGACCACCCCGGGGGAGGCCTGTTTCAGTGGCTCTGTCCAACGACCAAAGACTTAACCAGAGATGCTTAGTAGGGAAATCCCTTAAGGACCCTCACAGTCCCCCTACTCCAGCTCTTGCACCTGCTCCTTCTCAAACACTTGGAGACACCCCCTTTTCAAGCACTTGGAGACCAACATTCTCCTGGACAGGGATAGGCTGGGCCTTGGCAACCAGTAGGGCGGGATCACCGAGCCTCTGGCCCACCAACCAATCCAGCCATTCTGTGTCCTCCAGTCCCCCTTTCTTGATGACTGTGGAGGCTAGATAGCCCTAGGATGTCTGAGCCAGTGCTCCTATCTTGCAACCCCAATTTTTCTCACACCCTAGGTAACCCCGTACCTGCTGCGGATTGGTGGGGGTTGCTGGAGAATGCGAACCTTGGGAGCTAATTTTTATTACACTTTATTTATTTAATTTATTAAGTGTGTGTGTGTGTGTGTGTGTGTGTGTGTGTGTGTGTGTTGGTGTGTGTACATGCCACTGCACGAACAACAGTAGGACTAGTTCACTCCTACAGCCTCGTCCTGCGGATGAAACTGGGGTGATCAGGCTTGGCAGCAAGCATATTTACCCACTGAGCCGTCTCACAGAACTCAAACTCTTGGGCTTAGAGGATGCACAGGAGAGCCCAGATTTGGAAGAAGAGAGGAAGATCAGAGGGAGAAAAGAAAGGGAGAAAAATAGGAAACACGGTGGTGACTCTGCCTTTTGTGGGGCAGGACATCTTTACTTAGCTGGCATACAGGCAGTCAAGGCCTCAGACGTTTCCTGGCAGAGCTTGTGGATCCTTGAGAAGCATGATTACGGAGGGTAGGAAAAGTCTGCAAACAGGTGTGTGAAGAAGCTGAGAGCATTCTGTCTGAGGGTCCACAGCTGAGCAACTAAAAGGTGTCACTTTAGGAGGTTAACTCACAGACCCCATGGGGGCAGGTGCACCATACAGGAGATCTTACCCACAGGGGTGTTAAACCAAACCGCTGGTCTCCAAGGGTTCTCTGGAGTATAAGGACTCTTTGAGCTTGGTATTGTGGGCTGCATGGCCAGTACTACAGATATAGAGGCAGGAGGATCCTGCGTTCCAGACCAGCCTGGACTACTTAACAAAGCTTGCTGAGCCATTTCGGTGCTAGGTAGATAAAGAAATGAGTCCTGGACCAGTGTCCTGAAAGTTCCAGAAGAAGGGCTGGAAAACAACTGGATCCAGAGTTAAGAGCATTTTTAGGGCTGGACATATAGCTCAGTTGGCAGGTGCTTCTGCAACAGACAAAGAGCCTCTACAGTAACACACAGACTTGGCATGGTGGTGTGCGGCTATCATCCCAGCATTTAGGAGGGGGAGACAAGAAAATCAGGAGTTCAGCATCATCCTTGGCTACACAGCGAGAGATAATTTGAGAACAGCCTTGGCTGTATGAGACCCTGTCTCAAAAAAAAAAAAGAAACAGCAACAGCCAGTCGTAGTGGCACACACCTTTAATCCCAGCAGGCTGAGGCAGGCAGATCTCTGTGAGTTCAAGTCCAGCCTGGTCTACATAGTGAGTTCTAGAACAGCCAGACATAGTGAGATCCTGTTTAGAAAAAAAAAAGAACAGCAACACACACATGCACACACACACAAAAAAAGTTGTTGGTTTTGTTTTAAATTAGGTCAGGCAATGTGGTCCTACCTGTTATATAACTTTATATGTATACCAGGCTGGGAAAAGAAAAGAAAGAAAAGCAAGCACCATTTTGAGATAAAGGTGTGGTTACATAATGAATACTGAAGCCTCTGGAGCACCTGCTGAGCCATGGCACTGACCCATTGCTTGCTTTTACCACACAAGGTGTTACTCTGTAGCCAGCTATTATAGAACTCACTATGTATCCTAGGCTAGTTTCAAGATAGAGGCAACCCATTAGCCTCCGGGGCATGAGGAGGTGGAATTACAAGTCTGCTCTACTTCACCCGCTGGTTACAACTCCTGAATGGAGAAATCTCAGTCCGGTGCTTGTAGCCACACCTTACTTAGGCAATGCTCTGAATTCCAGGAAGAGATGAATTACTCACATGAATGTGGGTACCCATGTGTTTGCCGTGTGTGTGTGTGTGTGTGTGTGTGTGTGTGTGTATGTGTGTGTGGTGTAAGCTGGAGTGACGAGCCATAGGGAGCTGGTTCTGGGAGTGGCTCTGGATCAGAAAGTACCACAGGCCCATGGATACTCAGCCTACAAATATGATAATGTTGTAGACTCAGACACAGGGAAAGCCCAGCAGCGGGCCACTGGAATAAGCTACCACACCCTGAGAGATAGTCAACTTAACCAAAGCCTGAGGTAGAGCGAAAGAAATGAGAAAGCCAACTAGTTAAGTCCTGTGAGCCAAGCTAACAACAAAAGACTTAGTCCTGAATGTTAAACCCTTGATTTAAGGCCTGAGAGAGGGCTCGGCGGGCAAAGGTGCTTTCTTGGCAAGCCTGGAGATCTGAGTTTGATCCCTGGAATCCACATAAATGTGCCACGACACATGTGTGTACAAATATGCAAAAGTAAAAAAAAAATGTATCAAAAGTTGTTTTGTTGTTGTTGTTGTTAAGCAAATATATGCTTCAGAGGGGACTCATTTGGTCAAAGCATTTGCCTCACAAATGTAAGGACAGGAGTTCCATCCTTAGAACTTATTCAAAAAGCTCAGTGCAATGCAGCAGGTACCTGTACCCCAGCAACAACAGGTGGGAGATGAGTGGGTCCCTGGAAGCTTATTTGTTAGTTTGCTAGTTTAGCTTACTTGGCAAAATCCTAGGCTAATGAGAGACCCTGCCTCAGCAAAAGGTGGAACTGTGACAAGAGGTTAACCAGAAAGAAGGCTTCGTCAGTTGGGCTTCATCCCACAAACAGCTCGAGGAACATCTGGATTACCTAAAATGGGTGGAGCAGGCGCCACATAAGAGTCCTCTAAGGAGTTACACGGTTCAGGACTCTCAGTTTGGGGCTTCCCCTCAGCTCATTAGCTCTCTCCCGCTCTCAGGAGTGTTCTCTGTCTCTATCCCTAAGCATGTGTCCTTGGCCTAAGTCTGGACACTTTGACAGGTGCTTGAGGTCTCCGATCCAGAGGCATGACACCTGAGCCCATCAACCAGGAGATGAAGCCAGGCAAGGCAGTGTGCAACAGCAGCCGCTTGGGAAGAGGTAGCAAGATGTTAAGTTCACTTGAACTCAGGAGTTTCATTTAGACATCCTGGGACATACAACAAGATCTTATACTTGAAGATTTTTAAAGGTTCAATTCCCAGCAACCCACATGGTGGCTCCCAACCATCTGTAATGAGGTCTGGTGCCCTCTTCTGGCCTGCGGGCATACATGGAGGCTGAACACTGTGTGTGTACATAGTAAATAAATAATTAAAAAAAAAAGAAACCCTATTTCAAAAAAAAAACCCAAACAAACAAAAGTAATAAAAAGAAGGGCCTTCGAGATGGCTCAGAGGGGAAAGGGCCTCCCTCAATGGCAAGCCTAACAACTTGGGTTGGATTCCCACATAGTAGAAGAAAAAAACTGGATCCCACTGGTTGTCCTCTGAACTACACACACACACACACACACACACAGAGAGAGAGAGAGAGAGAGAGAGAGAGAGAGAGAGAGAGAGAGCCCTAGGGACAAGGGGTTCCAGGGAACCTCTCAGAAAGACAAGGAGAAGCAAGCATTCTCAGCTGTTTCTGCCTCCATGAAGAATTCAGAAAACCGTTTTCACTGGCTCCTGCTTTGCCCTGCTTTCTTATACCCACAGAACATATTTTATACTAACTTGTTCCTTTTGGGGGGCTCATGTGTTTTTATAGGATTTTTTAAAATAAAAATTTCTAGGAAGCGTTCTGATGTTTGGTTTGTTTGTTATTTTAATTGTTTTTTTTTTTTGAAATAGGGTCTCACCAGGTTGGCCTCAAACTCATTCAGATCCACCATCTCAGCCTCCTGAGTGCTGGGACACAGGCAGGTGCCACAATGCCCAGCTAAGTGTTCAGATTCTTGTTGTTGCTGTTTTGTTTTGTTGTGTATGTTATGGGTGTGTTTACATGTGTGCATGTGTGTGTCAGAGGTTAACATCGTGTCATCCTTGATTGCTTTTCATCTTTACTTTGATGTGTGTAGGTGTTTGATGTATGTGTACCATGTGTGTGCAGTGCCCATGGAGGCCAGAAGAGGGCAGCAGATCCCCTATGACTGGAGTTACATACAGTTGTGAGCCTCCACTTGGCTGCTAGAGACTAAACTCCAATCCTTTTCATGAGTTGTGGGTGTGGGTGGTGAGAATCAGACTCAGGGCCTCTGCAAGAGCAGAATGTGCTTTTAGCTTCTGAGCCATCTCTCCAGCCCCCTTCACCTTGTTTGTTGTCTGTTTTTCAGGCAGAGTCTGGCACTGAACCTGGAGCACATCCAATTAGGTAGAGTGGGTGTCTGGCCAGCAAGCTCCAAGGATCCACCTGTGTCTGTCTCTCTGGCTTGTACACGGGTGCTAGGGATCCAAACCCAAGTGTTCAGGTACCTTGCCAGCTGAGCTGCCTCCCCAGTATCGTTTAATGTTTGTTGAGAATCTCAGTACATTGCCCAGGCTGGCCTCAAATTTGTGCTCCTCTTATCTGAGTCTCTTTAGTATTGGGATTACAAGCTATGCTACCATTCCTGGCTTGCTTGGATGCTTATTGTATATCTATCCAGAAAGCAAAGGGTAGAGCCAGGGGTTGTAGCTAAGTTGTAGGGTGCTCGCCTGGTATGAACCCTAATTTTAATCCCAGCACTAAATATACTGGGTGGGGGTTCACACACACCTGTGACTCCAGTCCTGGAGAGCTGGGGACAAAGGGATCAGGAGTTCATGCTCATCTTTGACTACACAGAGAGGTCAAGGCCAGTTTGTGCTTGTAGCGTGGGCTCCATATTCACCACTAGCCTGGTCCACATGGAGAGTTCCAGGCCAGCCGGGGCTATGCAGTGATGAGCCTGTCTCAGAAAAGAGGGAGGGTCAAGCATACTAGTGTATTCTTGCCGTGTACCAGAGAGACAAAGGCAGAAGAATTCCAGCAGGTGTTACATAGAAAGATCCTGTCTTCA